GTATTGTTTTGTGTTCATGTAGACTTGACTGACCCAGAGCTCACTACGTAGACCAGGCTGACTTCAGACTTATCCTTCATCCACCTACCTCTGCCTCCCCAACGCTGGGATTAAAGGCATGCACCGCTCTGAGGTCTCCTTTATAAGGACACTAATCTCAGTTATGAGGGCCCTTGTCTATATGATCTAGTGACCTTGCCAAGGCCGTCTCCCGACATCACGGCATTTCAGCAAGTGACTAGGAGTGGAGTGTGGATGCTCAGATCATAGCAACAGGCTTGCTCCGTGCATGTGCATGCCCACTCCTCACTTCTGAGTGAGTGTCTCACACTACCCGAGTAAGTGCAAACGAAGAAGCAACCTGATCTCTCAGCCTCAAAGAGTTGGAAGCCACTGGCTGAGTCAAGAGCAGCCTAGGCAGGCTTCAAGAGACAGGTTTTTCCAGTTCTGACTCAGCTATAGGACACGGGGGCATGAATAGATTGGTCTCTCTGTGCCTTACAATAGCAAGCTCCACACCTACGTGCTTCCCTGGGATTCTGTAGCTAAGAGACATTTTTTCATAAAGACAAGTGTTATTAAGAGCCTTGGGTGTGGTCCCGCCCGAGGATTGGCTAGTTCAGCACACATAAGATCTGACAGGTCTGGGCCCTGAGAATTTGCATCTCAAAGCTCCCTCATGAGGTCCGTGCTGCCGGTTGGAGAGGCTCTTGATGGTGAAATCCCGTTTGTGTTGGGTCCTCAGGTTTACAGTCCCAGAGCTTCCAGAAGCCTTCTTTGTAGAGGGAAGGTAGACATCTCAGTAACTCTTCTGTTGCTGGGATGAAACACCGTGACCCACACACCTTGTAGACGGAAGGGTTAATTTAGCTGATGGTTCGGGAGGGACGGGAGTCCATCGTGGTAAGTAGCAGACAGATGGCTGGAGCAGAAGCTGGGGGCTCACATCTTGAACTGCAAGCAGGAAGCGGAGCGAGGGCTCACTGGTAATGGCGTCGGGCCTTGAAACCTTCACACCCACACCAAATGGCATATTTCCTGCAACCAGGTCACGCCTCCTAAGGCTACCCCAACAGCACCACCGACTGGGAAGCAAGCATTCAAACTTCTGAGCCTGTGGGGAACGTTCTCATTAGACTCACAGTAGGGAGAGGCACCGCAGTGAGTTAGGTGGTGTCCACTCATTGTTTAGTGATGCCCCACAGCAAACCTCTGGAGGCAAGTGGTGTCCTCCTTCCACAGGTAAGAAGGGGGAAACAGGGAGAAATGACTTTCCTATTGTCATACATTAAGTGCCCAACTCGGGATTCAGACCCCGGTCTTTCTGACTCCAGGGCTAACGAGTGTCTCTTCCCCTACGTTATGTCCTCAGACTTCCCTCTAGCTAACTTCCTGTCATACTCTACACCAGCGCTTCTCAACCTGTGGGTCTCCCACCCTTTGGGAGTCAAATGACCCTTTCACAGCGGTCACCTAAGACCATTGGGAAAGCACAGATTTCGATTCATAACAGTAGCAAAATTACAGTTATGCAGTAGCAATGAAAATAATTTTGTAGTTGGGAGTCACCACAACATGAGGAACTGTATTAAAGGGTCACAGCGTTAGGAAGGTTGAGAACCACTGCTCTGCCTCTCGAGTGCTGGGATTAAAGGCATGCGCCACCACCGCCCAGATCTTTTTCCTCCATTTTTATTGTTCATGTTTTAAGACAGCTGCATTAAAGTGAAAAAAGAAAACGTCTCTGGGTAATTCTAAATTTAGCCAAGGTTCTGCAAAGCACGCACTGAGAGAGAGACTGCCCGTGCTGCCTTCCTTGACGGTTCAGGTGCAGAGCTTTTGAGCCACGTGGCTGGCAAACATAAGATGTATGGGAATCTCCTGGGAGCTGGTTGAAACAGACTGCTGGGCCTCACGTCTCTGGGGTTCTGATTCTCCAAGTCGGAGGTAGGACCCGGGCACCTGCCTTTCAAAGTCCAAAATGATGTTATGCTAAGGCTGCAAGTCCTGGAATACACTCTGGAGCCTGTTGTCCTAAGAGCTTGCTGATGAAGGTACAATCCACGGACCCCAGGCTTGATAGGACTCCTCAGGCTTCGTCTCACACCTTCTGAATTCAAATCTGTGTGCATCTTAACACTGCCTTAGAGAGGCCGGACAGGAGCATAGCCCAGGGTGGAGGTAGATGGAGAATATCCCTTCTTCCTAAGAGATGCAAAAGCAGCAACATGGAGGAGCTTGTGTTAGGATGCGCAGGAGGGCGGACCGCTGAGAGACAGAGGATGGAGGACTCTTCTGTGAGGAAGGAAGAGAGATGGTAGGCCCGAGAGGTAGGCTGTAGAGAGGCATTCTGTTGACAGTCAACGTGAGGAGAGGGCACACAGGGGCCGAAGCCTTCGGTAGGGAGGGCAGTCTCACAGGGTGTGACAGGTGGGACACACCTGAATAAATAGCTGGCTGAGCAGCCAATAGGGCTGAGTCCCCAACAGGGGACTCTGTCAGGCTAGTGTTTTGATTTTGTCTTGCAATGGAAAACAAAACCCAAAAACACCCAACAGCCGTGCAGGATAGAGCAAGGTTCGGGGTCAGCACACGGCAGTGCAGACCAGGGTCCCATTGGTAAGATGGATACAGTGGGAATTCTGGGGGGTGTGGGGACATAGAGTAGAAGGAGTGAGCACATGCCATTGGAGATCCTTGGGCTGTTGCATCTTTATAGAAGGAAAGGGTGGGGAAAATCCTTCAGAAGACATGGACTGTTCCTTCCCTCACATATGAATGCACATGAATAGACCTAGCGGGAGCCCCTTATTTCTCAGACACATGAAAACAAATCTGGGAGTGGCTAGGCTGCAGTGAGGTCCATATGAGGGGAGATTGCTGGGAACCCCAGAACTGCCCAGTCTTGACTCCTGCCCATGCAGCTCCAAAGCGAGGGAGAGCTGAACGGGAATCAGGCTCCAGCACGCACTCCTGTGAATGCCGCATCGGCTTGTCCCTTCTGCCCCTTCTAACGGCTTTCATTCCATTCCCTCCCTCCCTCTCCCACAAGGAAACAGTCTCCTCAGCATTGGAAGCTCCCCCTTTCAGGGGAGCCCTTCCTTTCAAGGACTCGCAGGAAAGCAGGACATGAAACACAGTGAAGACTTTGCTTTCAGTTTACGTTTTTTGGCACTGACAGGAATCACGTGGCATCTACAGGCAGGAAGCAGGAGATGAACGCTTCTGCTTGCCTTCCCATATTTATTCAGCTTAGGACCCCAAACCCTGAATTGAAACCCCACACATTTGGGGTGACTCATCCTACCTCAGTTGACAGAATCTAGAGACTCCCTCACAGGCAGTGAATCTAGATGCTGTCAAGTGGACAATATTAACCATCACCTCTTCCATGTGGAGTTCACATGCTAACACATGACTCCTCTCACTCCCGCAAGAAGCAGTGCAGGGGGTAGCACCATTCCAGCATCAAACAAGACTATTGGAAACTTGATCCATGCTGTGCCAACCTCAGGCAGGTTGCATCTGGGCCTGTGTTTCCTTCCTACTCACCCCTGTAAGGGAAGGGACCATGTGTCATCGTTGTGATACCCACGCTGAGACCGAGACCTGTGCAGGGCACAAAGGAAGTTTTCATAGATGCTCGGGAATAGAGGCAATAAAACCATCTATCTCCCTTCTCTCCTGGGACTACTATGAGCAAGGCATGTTCTTGTCCAGGCCATGAGGGTGAGTAAGGTTTATTATAAGGACAATTGTCTGTTCCTTCTTGGAAGAAGGTACCATACTTTGAAATAACAAGAACTTCTTGATTACCTCCTAGGTCAGGTTCTGAGGAGAAGCCAATTCCTTATAACTGTTTGTCCAAGAAAGCAGGCTGCTGCCTCCCACCAGGACCAGGTGTCCCTCCCCTTTCATCCTCTTCCTCTTCGTCAGCCTTTCTCTTTACACAGGGACGAATGCCATTTGGAAAAGTACAGCTGGGTAGGTATGAATCAGCTCAGGCAGGCGACAAATGATTCACATCTGACCGACTTGATTTAGTTCAGGTCTTCCATTCCGGAGCCTTTTCTCCCTTCTAATTAAATGATGATTGCTCTTGGTGGTGGGAGGGAAGAGGCTGACTGTGATGTCTGTATTGGTGGAAGCCGGGGACAGGAGAGATAAGGGAACGTGCTTTCCTGCTTGGTGTGGTGGTAGAATGGCGATGGTGTTGGAGATGTTGGCACCCTTGAGACCTCCTGGGCCTACTATGCAGCTGGTGATGGATGATCCACAGCCACACCTTTCCCTTGTCCCCCGGCTGAAGACTGTGGATTATGATACCCTGTGACCTGCTTGCAGAAAATACACGGACCCGTCGATTACTCCATTAGACCCAGCTCTTGAATCACCGGGCACTGTGCCTGGGCACAGTTGGGGCTGGGAAAAGGCATGGTGATCCAAGCATCTCTCCTTGGCCTGTCAGCACGCACAGCTGCTGCTGATGGTGCTGACTTCTCTTACTGTAGATTTCCTCAGATGTCTCTGCTCTGGGTCCTTCGATCTGCTGGGACCGGCAGTTAGCTCTTCAGAGCCTTGGGCCAAGGAACCCGAGAAATGTCGGCTTCCTGGGCCTTCCTGCCGCTTCCTCCCATCCGCTGACAGACAGGCTTTGCGCACCTGCTACATACAGATCGCGCACGGCCCTGGGTCAATGATGGCTGCTGTGGAGTGTTGCGGGCCAGCACTGTGTCTCTCGGGGTCTTCTCAGCAACCGGAAGATAATTTGTGTTGTTCCCACTCTTTACTGCTGAGGAAATGGGAGCTATGAGTTGAATGAACATCCCATCCAATGCTCTAGGTACCTCTTTAGGGTCAGTTTAGCACTAAAATGTCAGAGAAGGTGCACGTTTCAGGGCGCCTCTTTGTCACATGAAGTCAAAGTGAAACCCCTTCCACGTGGGTGTCTCGGGCCGTCTTCGAGGGAACCCTTCCTCACGTGCTTGCTCTCTCTCCAGGTGTCGACTTTAAGATGAAGACCATCGAAGTGGACGGCATCAAAGTTCGAATACAGATTTGGTGAGTTGGGCAGGAGGAAGAGGCAGGTAGAGGAGGGAGGACTCTGAGCTGCTGGCATTTGTAAAATCCTCTTAAGCTTCATCTGGGATAACTGGGGAGATATCTCAGTGAAGAATGAGATCAGAAACCCCTATTCCTTGTTCTATGAACCTGAGCAAACTATGGGACGGATGAGAGGTCACCAAAGGGAAGGAATTAGGAGTTAGGAAAATAAGTGCCATGGGCTTATCTCTGATCGGGCTTTCCTCTGGAGCTGTCCCACGTGACTAAACCTGGAAGGCTGAAAGCATCCCTCCCAGGCTTAGATTCAGACTGTTTTTTTGAGTGCCTTAGTACTGCATGGTGCAGTTTCCACTATTGGCCACCAGGGGCTGCTGTGGCTTTCTGGTCTAAAGGTCTTGGAAGCTCTTAGAGTTTATGGTGCTACCTCCCAATCCTAGGATGCCATGGGAACTGCCTTTAGCGATGCCCTGGGCACTGGGTGTGTGACAGATCCTCCCATCTGGCCAAGCATGGCCACAGTGGCTGAGTTCTGTCAGGTTGTGGGTCCTGAGAAGAGGCTGAGTCCCCGCTGGCCTTGCCTGTGCCCATACTGAGGACCAGACCTCTCACTTCAGACTCAGGTGTGTTTGGATACTCTTGGGGATTAGAGAAGTACTAAATTTTCACCCTCAAACCCCCTCCAGCTTTTACTCCCAGGGTACAGGGGATCCCAGCTCCTGCTAGTCCCTCATCTTCTGTCTGCATGGTCCCTTCTCTAAGGGATTGGCTTTCTCTTGCAGGGACACAGCAGGACAGGAGAGGTACCAGACCATCACAAAACAGTACTACCGGCGGGCCCAGGTGAGGCACCGTTTCAGGGTTAGAGCTGGGAAGCTGCTGTCCACACTGGATGTTTGAGATGCCCGTGTGTCACTGAACCCTGAAGTAGGGCCCCCAGATAGCCTGCTGGGGAGACTCTGTCTTTCACTATTTATTCCTCAGTTACCCACAGAGCACTTACTGAAGCTGGGTTCTTCACTCTCACACACAGTCTCCACTCTCAACCCTTTACCCCAAGCCACAGACCCAGGTCAAATCACGCAGTGCCTTCCTGTCTAAGAATTCCATGCTGAGAGGTCCTCACTGCAGACAGGGAGAGTGGGCTGAACATACGAGGACCACCAGTCTGGCCCCATGACTGTACATTCTACTGCGTCTAGTCTCACTCTTTTTTCCTCTCTTCCTCAGGGAATATTTTTAGTCTATGACATTAGCAGTGAGCGCTCTTACCAGCACATCATGAAGTGGGTCAGTGACGTGGATGAGGTAGGAGACACCGCCTCACTGATGGGGTGGGGGAAGGGTGCCTTAGGGAAAGGCAAGACAGGGGCCTTGGGGTAAAACAAGCTCTCAGGGTTGGCGAAAGGTTACAACTTCGGAGAGAGACCTTGGGGTAAGCGGTGTGGAAAAAGCCGGACCTTCCATATCCTTATGTATGCACTGTGCCCTGCGAGGCTCCCATAGCTATGTCTTTCTTGGACAAGCATTAGTCCCAAGACTGCCTCATGGGCAGCTTTGTTCTCAAACCTCAGGTCCAGATGGAATTACCTCAGGTCCAGATGGAATTACAAGTCTGGGCTACTAGACCAGCTCCCGCACATGGTGGAGCCTTGGCAAGCCATTTTCAGCTCCTTGGGTCCCCAATCCCTCATCTGTCAAGTAAAGGCCGAAGTCCAGTGTCCTCTGCAGTTCAGACACCCTTTGTTCAACCCAATGAGGCATCCGTCTTAGCATCTTCTACCCTAAACTGTCCCTGTGACATTCTTGGGGTGGCTGTGGTGTTAGGGTCCCCACGACACTCCGTTCCCAGACTCACAAGGGAAGCTGAGAAGAACAGATAGTTCCAAACCCTTTAAATGTTGGCTTTCCCTGGTCTTGAATCCCTGGGACAAAATATATAAGTTAGACGTAGTAAAAACCAATCAATAGCAGTAATAGCAAAATCGCAATGTTCTATAACCAAAGTTACGGATTGTTTATTTCTGGCGTTTTGCATTTAATATTTTTAGATCAAGGCTAACTGATGGCGATTGAAATTGTGGAAAACAATACCACAGATAGGGGGGATAGGGGGTCCTGTACCCTGGGAGCCTGCTGCCTGTACCCAGTCAGCCTGCTGTCCCTAGGATTCTTGAACTTGGTGGTTTGGAGGCCAGAGGAGGCTGTATGGGGGAGCAGGGAATGAAGAGAAGCACTCACTCAGGTCTGCCTCCATTTGTCCTTAGTATGCACCAGAAGGAGTCCAGAAGATCCTCATAGGGAATAAGGCTGACGAAGAGCAGAAACGGCAGGTGGGAAGAGAGCAGGGGCAGCAGGTACGTGAAGGCTCACTCTTTGGGGCGTCTGTGGTACTTGCTGAGCCTGTCCCGAGCGCAGGGGCCCAGGAGCACACTCACCATCATCCGGTCCCCTCACACACCCAGCACTGGGGGGCTGACATGTGTGAGAGTTTGTTTTCTAGTTCTCAGGACAATGACCAGGGGTCCACATGGGGGGGGGGGCGACCTCTTAGGTAGCACCTCTAGCAGGTCCAAGACTCCTTCAACAGGATTTGGATCACCTCCATGATAGCGACGAGGTCGCTGACATCTCTAACAGACTCTGTGCACAGTAAGGGAGGGGTCTCCCACTCCACTCCCCCCCACACACCCTGACTTCCTATGCCTGGAAAGGGTGACAATGAAGAGTCCCCAAGGAGACAAGCCATGGGTCGGAGAGGGCCAAAGCATATCCAAGTGTGCAGGGAGACCATACTCCTCCCACACAACAGAGAGACTGATATTCTGAAGCAAGAGTCCTCCACCCACTCTGAGCGCCTCATGAGTTTTTCTCTTCCTCTTCAGTCAATAGCATTCCATTAGTCCTTAAAATAACATTGATTTTGGGGGGAGCATAACAAATAATACAATGTCATTAAAATGCGGAAGTGGAGACAGACCCTACAGGACTAACCGTTTTTTTATTGAGCACTGCACCCGGAGCACTGTGGTAAGTGCTCTTAGCTGTGTGGCCCGTTTAATCATTCTATAGCCCTTGATGTAGACACTACCACTCCCCTTTAATAGAGAATAACGCTGGGGCCTGGAGAGAATGAAAACAGAAACTTGCTCTGGGTTCTACAGCTCCTGGGTGGCATCTTGGCACCTAGACTGCCTTTGTTGCACTCAAAGCCCGTGTTTCTCATGTTTATGTGTGTGTGTGTGTGTGTGTGTGTGTGTGTGTGTGTGTGTGTGTGTGTGTGTGTGCAGACTTGAATGAGATGGGTGTATTGGTGGAATAGCTTGCCCCAGTCTCTGCCAGCCTATGTCTTAGAAAGGGCCCCCAGTTTCCCACCCAAGGCATCCTCATGCCAATGCAGCATGCCAATGCAGCATGTCAAATGCATCGAGAGTGCCACGGCAGAAGCACATACCACGTGGTACGGGCCTCCCTTCCCTCACTGACTCTCTTTCAGAAATGCCCTTGTCTTGCAGCTGGCTAAGGAGTATGGCATGGACTTCTACGAAACAAGTGCCTGCACCAACCTTAACATTAAAGAGGTGAGAACCCTGGGGACAGCTGCCCTGACTGGGGCTGAGCCCAGAAGAGGGGGAGGATGGGAAGAGATGGCAGATAGGAGCCAAGATAAGACGGGAGACCCCTTCCGCCGTGGGCAGTTGCAGGGTGATCCGAAGCAGAGAAGAGGACAGTGGACTGACTTGTGCCCCTCGCCTTCCCAGTCCTTCACTCGGCTGACGGAGCTGGTGCTGCAGGCCCACAGGAAAGAGCTGGATGGTCTGCGAACACGTGCCAGCCACGAGTTAGCGCTGGCGGAGCTGGAGGAAGAGGAAGGCAAACCGGAGGGCCCGGCGAACTCTTCAAAGACCTGCTGGTGCTGAGGGCCGTGTGTGGAATCCCCCCCGCAACTCCCTCCCTCGGGAGGCCCGTGGAAGCAGGGGAGCCTGGGCTTTGTCCACTGCTGTCCTTTCATTTGATGACCCTGTTGAGAATCAGCAGCTGCTACTCCCCTGCCTGGCCCTGTGAGCAGCTCTGCTGTGGCCTCTGAGCAGCCTGTGTCCCCGGCCCCTCCATCCTGGAGTTACGGTAACCTTCAGCTTGCTCCCCAGCCACAGGCCGGCTGTGACCCCAGAATGTGCTGCGACCATCTCACCACCGGAAGCTCCTGGGACAATGGTCAAGGCTGGAGTCAAGGCCACTCAAAGACTCATTTCTTAGTGCATCTCGTGTGTTCTGCTTCTCTCTTCTTTCTACTCCCTCTCCACCCACTTCCCTTCAGTGTATTTTACATCTGCGTCTCTCCTCCTTTGCCAGTGTGTCCTGCTGAGTGGCTGCTACTGCCTTCCCTCCCTCCCTCCCTCCCTCCCTCCCTCCTGACTCGGCCTAAGGGAATGGATCCAGGCTCTGCCCCAGGGAGGATGACCCACCCTGCTCTGGGGTGGGCCCAAGGCTATGGGTGCTTCTCCCTCCCCCCCCTCCCCACAGCCCCCCCCTTGTGCCATGGGCCGCCTCCCCAGTGACCTGGGAAAGGAGAACACTTGAGGTGGGAAGGAAACACTACTTGGTGGTCCTCAGGCCTGGGCTGGCCTCCTCGGCCTTTGCCTTTGGCTGGAGCTTTGGCCTTGCCTGGCCGCCCACAGGCCTCTGTGAGGAACCGAGTCTGGAGATGGGCACGGCAGGGAAGAAAACAAGGATGAGGGGTGGCGGGGACAAGTCACCTCGATTCTCTACCTCCCATGCAGTGAGTACACGACCTCTTCACCTGGGTTCCTGGATTTCAAGGAATGGGGATCAAGGCCTGAGGATGCTGGAGGGCAGGGGAAGTCCTGGGGTCGGACACTGTGAACTCTAGAAAAAGGCGACCGCGGTTGTGAAGGGCTCGCTCCTAGATGGTAGGGATAGAGCAGAGGCAGAGGGCGCTTCCCCACATTGATTGTGGTGGCAGCAGCCGGGCCTCTTGTGTAACAACATTGACCCAGACTTCCTGGCAGAGGTGAGAAGTGACGTAACCAGGTCACTCTTCTCTCACTGAACCCGGCCCTCAGAAGTTAAGGTTTTCCTGGGCCTCAGAGTCTGGGGGCAACAGGCCTTAAAACATGGGGAGAGAGGGCAGCCATGGGCAGAAGGCCTTGGTGCCGTTCTGCCTTCCAAGGCTCCCTCCTCTGGCCCCCTTACTTGTAAGTAGACTTGTAGCATTGCCAACTGCCGAGGAGCTACCAAGGGAGGGGAAAGGACACCCTCCTCCAGAGGTCTATGCTCAGGAAGTTTCTTTCACCCCATGGCCCAAGGGTAGCTTGAAGGAGGCCCTGACGAGAAGGGAAAAACCCATGCTAGGGGTCGTCCCCAGGCGGGAGGAGCTCAGGTAAGAGAATAGTCCCAAGATGCACTGCGTGGCTGGGGCTGGAGCCAAAGCAAAGGGAAAACTGGGCCCTGGCTGAACATTCACCAACAAAGGACCTTTCAAATCCAGGGCACAGATGTGAAGATAAAGAGCCTCGCCCTTTCAGTCCTCCAGAAAGGGAGATGGGGATGGAAACTTCTTCCTCCCTTTGCAAACCAGGAGAGGGAGCAGCTCAGGCTTTCTGGTGGAGGAGAGGCAGGAGCAGGGGTAATACATTGTTCACTGGAAAGGCAGCACGCTGGCTCTAAGGCTGGACCGTGACCGACTGAGGTGGCTTCCTTGGGGACGGACTCCTGGGTAGCAAGATCTAGGCAGCATCACACAGCAGGTGAGCACACACCTGCCTTCGGCCAGAGTCTGAGAGGAAAGTTTCCACTGGGCACGGGTGATCTTGCTGTCCCAACCCCTCAAGAAAGTACTTGATTTTCACTATGCTAAGGATTCTGGGAGGGGCAGCATGGGGTTGGGACTCTGTGGACTCTGGGCCATGGTCACAGCTCTAAAGTATAGCGGCAGAAGGACGGCTGGGATTTTAGAGTGCGCCGGGGCTCGCTCCGTCCCGGAGTTGGCCTCGCTCTAAGCACTAGTCTGGGAGGCGGCTTGGGCTGTGTCACTGGCCGTGACTGTTCAGCAGGCTTTCCTGGCCTGTCTGCCCACTGCTGGAGATCAACCCACCCTGGTCCACCACCTGAGCCCCACTCACTTGCTCCCTGTGATGGGTGAACTTTGTGTCCTGTGTCTCGGGTCCATTATATGAATTGTGAGCAGGATTCATCTATTTTAAACACAAATGTTTACAAAATAAAGAATATTTCAAACCATGGGTGTGTGTGCCTGTCTGAACCTCCGGGAGAAGGTGCTATTGGGGCCTTGGTGGTGACATGGGAGGCAGAGCGAAAGACAGAAGAGGCCCCCAGAATTTTAAAGTTACAGCAAAGTGACAAAGGGGTGGGCTTGGTCTGTCTTCCCTAGTGACACCTGCAGAGACCCCAAAGCAACCCCTCCCCCCACTGTTCTATCGTGAGCTTACGGGAGCAGGGTTCGGACTAGAAGGAGGCTGAACATCAGGGGTGTCCTAAAAGCCAGACCGGTGGCCATCTGCTGCGGATGAATCAGGAAGGTCCTTCCTGAAGGCATTGGAAGGGCTGGGTAACGTTTCAGACTTGTCACTGGATACCCCATGGAGCAGAAGCAGATTGGAACCTGGGATGATGAGGTGTTGGGGACATGGAGATGCTGGAGATGGACGCTGGGAGTGTGGGCAGAAGGAAGAAGGAGGAATACAACAGCAGGGCAGTGACGGTTCTGAATCTGCACCGATTCGGAGAGCACTTGCCACTCTCCTGAGCAGTCACTGTGTGGGAGGGAGTGCTTATCTTTGTGAACTCAACAGATAAGGAAACAGGTTCTTGGAGGTGAGCTTTAAAGAGAATAATGGTTATGACTAAAAATCAGTGCCCTGGACTCTCTAGAATCCAGAGTCTAAATGGAAAAGCTTTGGATTATCTATCTAGAAAAACCTCTATAAGCAATTCTTTTGCAGTCAGAACCGAGAACCACCCACCTAGGCTTTTCTGCCTCCTAAGGCTTAGAACAATTGTTCTGTTGCAGAACGCCATAGGGAAGACTCTTAGCGTGTGCCCAAAGTTAAAAGCTTCTGGAAAGTGGGGGCAGTGTGTACACCTGGAGACAGTACTTAGGAATATCTCATCAGTTTTACTCAACTGTGAAAAGTGAGCATCCAGGAGACCCGTGAGGGTCTTAGATTTTCTTGGAGAAAACCAAGTGCGAACCCATTCCTCACTCAAGACTCGCAGCATGCCTGAAGAGGGCTTTCAAAGCACAGCAAACAAAAGGCATCATCTCTCTCTTTGGAAGCCCAGGCTGCCGGGGAAGCTCCAGATGGCAGAGAAGCCTGGCAAATGAATGTCAAGTTCTTAGTCATCCTTGCCAGGTCACTCTGACTCCATAGCTCGGTAAGGACATCTCCTGGCTATAATATCCAAGGACTCTGGGCAGTCCTGCAGGAGACCTAACTTCTTCCACCATGCGTGGCATCACAAGACTCCATTCCCACTTGGATCATGGAAACCTGTTTTCAGGGAGCGGTCAGCCGAGCTAGGATTCCCACACACTTGAACACATGTGGGACAAACTGAGGCAGAGCTGCTGAGCGCTCCCTGGCACAGAGTTTCTTTGCCTCTCAACAAATCAAATTCTGAAGATTGGTTGGCCCAGCCTTGTTGACTGTTCTAGGACAGTGGCAATGGACCTGTGAAAACACCCTGGGAAACATTTGCCTTATTAAAATAGCCAGGATAACCTTGATTGTTTGTTGTTGTTTGAGACAGGGTTTCTCTGTGTAGCTTTGGAGCCTGTCCTGGAACTCACTCTGTAGACCAGGCTGGCCTTGAACTCACAGAGATCCACCTGCCTCTGCCTCAAAGGCGTGCGCCGCCACCGCCCAGCATGATTGTTAGTTTCACTGGTGGAGAAATTGAGTGTTTCTTAAAAGTTCCTACTTTAGTTGGCCAATGCTTGAATAACAGAGTGGCTTGGATAATGGTCTTTTCTGCTGCTAGACTGAGCCCCAGTAACAGCCCTCAGCGGGCAAAGACATCCCACCACATACCAATGGCTGGCTTTGAAGAAGTCTTGGTAACCTACTTGGAAGCACAGCTGCTTTGCCTTCCTGTACATTCCCTCCTGTGAGGAATGTGTGTCACGAATTCACAGAAGCCTGCTCTTGAAAATCGCAGAGACTGAACCGTCTCCTGAGAGGGAAATAGGTACAATTCGTCTATCCAGAATGTACCGTCTGTTCCAAGACTCCTCCTGATCACTATGCCAGCAGCGACTCCATCCTCATGACTGGTGGAGGAGTGTGGGATGGAGGTGGAGGTTCTAATGTAGGACATGACACAGTGCAGGGACAAAGACCTTAGTGTTCTCCATGATGAGAAACATCACTCACTGAAAGGCTTTCTGAGACAAACACAACATCTCTTTTGCCTGATGCAAACTGAGGCACTGGAAGTCATTGCTTCTAGAAAAATGACACTGTCCTCCTAAGGGTCCCTTTGATTATGCTTTAAGAAAGCACAGAAATAAGCCGGGTGGTGGTGGCGCACACCTTTAATCCCAGCACTTGGGAGGCAGAGGCAGGCGGATCTCTGTAAGTTCGAGGCCAGCCTGGGCTACCAAGTGAGTTCCAAGAAAAGGCACAAAGCTACACAGAGAAACCCTGTCTTGAAA